CAGTGATAAAGAGTAATAAAGAGAGTAGAGCATTGTCTGCACCGTAGTGTTGGGACCGCGCTGACAGCTCAACTAGCCATATAGAAGTATTATATATATGGGCACGAGGCCCGAGAAAGGGAGACGCACGAAGTTCAAATATGGACATAGATAGTCGAGCGTCATTATGCGCAGGCGCGTTTACTAAGCGAGTGCGAGCGAGACAAAGCATTGGAAAGTGAGAGAAAAAACGCGAGAAAGAGAAATGCCCAAGCGTGCTTGAATGTTCACCGCATGCGCACAAAGCAGCTGGACCTTGCGCGAGAGAGAGACAACTATATTGTCTGCACCGTAACATTTAGGCTTCAGGTCGGCACCGTACTAGCAATATAGGCTCTGTTCGGTTATTACTGGCAGTACTGAAAAATCTATAGTATACGTGACATGAATCTATAGATTTTCAGTACTGCCAGTAAAAAACAAACGCAGCCATAGTATTACATATATGTTCGCGATAGAGAGCATCACAACTAGGATCTCTGTTTTTGTCTCGTCGTCGCTGATTGGTTGAAATTTATACGAGTACAGTCCAAGACAAGAGAACAACGAAAAGTAAAGAATGACTGCGTTTAGCAGAAATCAATGCTCAGCAATTGCTAAGCGCTGATTTTTGCTGAACGCAGTCATTCTTTACTTTTTGTTGTTCTTTTGTCTTGGACTGTATTCGTTAGCAATTAGCAATTGCTGAGCGTTGATTTCTGCTGAACCCAGTCATTCTTTACTTTTGCGTTCATTCTTTGCAGTTATTCTTTACTTTTCGTTGTTTTTTTGTCTTGAACTGTACTCGTATAAATTTCAACCAATCAGCGACGACGAGACAAAGACAGAGATCCTAGTTGTAATGCTTTCTATCGCGGACAGCTCGCACAATAGCAAGGCGCGTTCCATATTATAGTTCAGTGGCTGCGCCCTAGCTCCTATAACCTTGGGTGCGTTCAGACATCTCAACGGTTGAGAGATCATTACTTATGATAGGACTATTCTTCAAAATCTGCTGCGGTTCAAAAGTATGATCCAATCAGAAGTGATTATCTCTCAACCGTTGTGCAACTGTTGAGTTGTCTGAACGCACCCCTTGTTTACAAAATAACATCAGTGAGTGGAACGCAACGTGTTAGTTACGAATAAAAAAATAGTAATATCAAACAAATAATAAAAAATTATTCTTATATTATTGTTGTGAGTGTTAATTATAAATATAAAATATTTTTTAGAGCATTATTATTATTATTAATGAAAAAAAGAGGTGGATACTCTTGTGTAATGAAAAATTGCAACAATGACCATGTTCAGCAGACTGAGCAGATCAGTGAGCGCTTAGTGATTCTTCAATATGATTGGTTTCTACACTTAGATCCAATGAAGATCTAAAGGCAAGATTCAATCATATTAAAGAATCACCAAGCGATCCCTGATCTGCTCAGTCTGCTGAACGTGGCCAATATTTCTAAGCGAACACTTAGGGTCATTCTACAATGAGTTGAAAATGTCCCGTTGCCAGTTGCGAAAGGTAGCAATTACGAAAAGAAAAGTATTATTTCTGGTTGCGCTTTGTCGTTGCGGTTGCTAAAAGAGAGTTGGTCAACTTTTAACTTCTGTCAACAGCAACTGGCAACCGCAGCATGTAAACTAATACTTTTTCCCTAGTAGTTGCAACTGGCGACGGGACATTGGGTGTGTTTAGCCCATAGACGTATAAGAAATAGACTGCGCGTGTGAGAGGGGAAGTGAGTCAAACTTCGGAGTGAGACAGATGCTTTCACCCGAGTCT